CTTTCCCTTCGAACGTCAGGCACCACAGAGGGGAACGAGACCCCGTCCAGAGGCCCCTGAAGAAACAGAGCGCTCGTCCCGACACCATGCTGGCGCTGATGGCGGACGCTCTCGATAAGCTGAGAGCCGTTTACCCTCCCCTCCTTCTCTTCCTTTTCTCCATTTTTTTTTCTGCTCCCGACATACGGCCTGGGCCGGTTCTGGATTCTGCAGAATTAAGGGGCTGTCAGTCGGAATGTGTGGCAGGTGCTTTCATCCCACATTAGAGGGACCCACCTCAGCATCGCTGACTGGCAAGTTGCTCAGACTGACAGTCGCAGGAGAAGGGAAAGTGGAACCCTGAGAACCCTTCCCGTCCCTCTGGGAGGGTTGGTCCGAAGGAAATTGGGGGAAGTGTGTGGAAGGGAAGTATTTCACAAGCTTCTGGGCCTGATCCAGCCACAACTCTCACTTAAGAGTAAAAGGAAAAAAGTAAATGAGTCATTTCAATGGCGGATTACAAGATGATCAGTGTGTGTCTACACCAACAAGCCTGTTGGCCTCCATGAGGGGAGGCGTGAGATGACTCTTTTTAACAGTATCGTTTCCTTTTCCATTTTCTTTCCCTTCCAGTCAGGGCTGTCAAACCTCTCTGGGTTTGGAGGTGCTTTAGAACTTCAGGCAGTTGCTTCACTGTTTCCAGCAGAGCACAATGCCCGGAGTCCAGGGCACAGGGACAGGAGGAGACAGTGAGGTGACGAAGCAAAGCTTGAGTGGGGGACAGCCTGCTGCTTCACGTTCTCCCAGCGGCTAACCCGTGGCGTGTTAGCACGTTTGGCCACGTGTGGAGTGTTCCGCTGTGGTTAAGTAGCAGTAAAACTCATCTTCTTGGAGATCCACAGGAGCCTTTGCTGGAAGATGTCATGACTGACTCAAAACTGAAAAATATATATATACATATACGTGTGTGTGTGTGTGTGTGTGTGTGTGAAATAGCAGGAGAAATGATTTTTCTGACCTCTCATAATGGTGGGGGACAGGAAGGGGAATTGTGTCACTCAGCTCTTAGTTGCAGACAACAGATTCCACTCTGAGGCACTTCAGCAGAAAGCGCTTGTTAAGAGAGAGCCGAGGGCTACAATCTCCTCCAAAGAGCTGGAGAGACAGGCTGCCAACTGCAGCTCGAGGAACAACACCCAGTGCACAACATACAACTGCCCACTGTGACCTGCTGCCACGTCCGCCCAGCACTTCCCGCCTCAGCCGCCACCTGCACCTGTTGAGCAGGTGCTCTTTACCCATCTGACACTTCCCGTGTCCTGTTTCCAAATCTGCCTCAAGTAGGTGTGTCAGATGATGCAACCAGGTCCCGAGTCTGCACCCCAACAGCAAAGGAGGTTGAGAAACATAGTTTCTATAGCTTCTGTGTTGGAAAGTGGGATCCACAACGTGGAGGAGGACCACATGTTCCTCACAAGACTGCACTAGCAAATACAGCACAGAAATTCCTAGTGATACGAGTTGAGAGTAAAGTTTTAATGACCAACTGCAAAAAAATTGCAAATAATTCTAGAAATAGTAATTTTATGCCTTCAACTGCTAAGGGACATGTGGTTGTCTGTACCATGATTCCACATATTTCTCCTTCTTTGACTCTCTTAGGTTGGTTACTTTTCTAGTTTCTGATAATGTTTCCCCCATTAATTATCTATGACCTGGTGGCTAGATTCTTTTAGATTAGGCTATCAAGAGAGAAAGGTTTAAAAGTGGTTTATTTAAGTCTTCATGAAGCCATATTCCTTCGCAAAGTTTGCTGAGATTTCTAGACTTTGTATTTTTACTTGACGTTGAAGACCTGTTGAATTATACTTTAAATCCCTCCAAAGAAGAGGCAACCAAGCTTTTAATAAAACTCAAATTTGGCATGATTTTTTTATAGTATGAATTTACATAAACATTTTTATAGATTTTTATAGTGAACGACGTGAAGTTCATTTTTTTTCAAATTGGGTCATTCTTTTAAAAAAATACTAGTTTGGTATGTAAACTTTTACTCTTCTGAAAAGCAAGCAAAATAAATCAAATTGTTTCGAGTGTGTGAAGCTCCTACCATTGCATCAGTGAAACTGTAACTCCTCCTCCTAAGACTGTCATATAACACGTCATCATGATAAGGTTTTTACTATCAGTGCTTCCTTTTTGGCCATTCAGGATCTTAAATGAAATAGATTTAAAGAGTAGAGTATTTGAACAAGCATCAGAGATGATAGTTTTGAAACTTGTAGACACTTCCTGGGAAGGACTCAGTTATCTCGCTTCTTTGATAAACCCTGTCTAACCTACAAACTAGAGCGTGAATATTTGCGTGCATGGTCATAGAAAATGACCAGGAACTTAACTAAGCGTTTTCCTCCAGTTCCTTGGCAATAGAAGATGAGTGAAAAACTTCTCCTTTTTACTTTTTATTTTTTGACCTGAGTAAATAGTTCCTTTAAATATTTTTCTCCACAGAGTATCATCTTTTTATCTTATTTTATTTTTTATCATTCCACAGGGGGTTAAATACCTGTGCATTCCAGCAGCGGATTCACCATCTCAAAACCTGTAAGTTTTTTTTTCTGTATTATTTGGACATATTAAAGATAAAGGATTTAAAGCCATCAGAGCAGAGGGACCTCGATGCACAGCTGCCGCCCAGCCGCGAGGCGGGGGGTGGCCCAGGAGGTCAGCGCTCCTGGTTTGCCGGTCCTTCCCCTGTGCAGCTCTGACAGTGGGGTGTGTATGAGGAGCCTAATTTTGTACAGGGTGCCTCAAACCAAACCTTTAGCATGTTCACCCTTTCCCTGGAAGCTGTTGCACTTTGTCCAGTAGAAACACAATATGAGCCACAAACACAAGCCACACATATAATTTTAAATATTCTAGGAGCCACATTAAAAAGTAGAAAAGAGACAGGTGACAATAATTTTAATAATATGTTTTATTTAACCCAGTATACTCAAAATACTATCAACTCAACATGTGCTCAGCATTTTAAAAATGAGATATTTTATATCCTTTTATTCATACAAAGTCTTCAAAACCTGGTGCACTTTTTATACTTACATCACATTCCATTCGGACCAGCTCCATCTCAAGTGCCTAGCAGCCTCACGTGGCCAATGGCCACCTGAGGGACAGCATCCTTGGAAAGCTGGTCTGAGTTGAGAGACCACGTTTTTCTGGTTAGGAAAGTCCTGCCCTCTCTTCCCCACAGCTGAATACATCTCTGGTGCCGCTTTAGCTCTGTGTGTCCCTCCAAAGAGAGATTCATAGTCGCTCTCCTTTCCAGATTCCCCACAGTCATATGAGACCTGTGGGACAGGGGTTGCAGACCACCGAGGTTACAGCTGTGACACCACACTCCTCGGTGTCTGGAGGTGATGTGGAGATGATGTGGACTAGATGAAAGTTCTCCTGAGCCTGGATTTGAACCAGGCAGGCTGAGAGCCACAGGAGTTGAGGACATGGCTGTTCAGTATGTCCAGCAGCCCAGCCTCTGCCTCAGACTCACCTTTGCTGCCTGTTCTAGGGCAGACACAACAACCCTTCCAGAATGACATGTTGCTGCATTTCATCAAGGAAGAGGCTGTGGTGTTGGAGAATTTGGGAGTCCATGGCCTTGTCAGGATTGAGAACCTTCGTGGTTCTCAAGCTTTATTGCCTGCAAGGCCTACATATCAGAAGTACAGACCACACAACTTTACCCCTCTGAAGGCTGTCCAATACTGAATGTCAGCCAACCTTGGTTTTTCACTGCTGGAGAGCAGAGAAATCACAGGTTATGCAATAATTTTGTGAGGTCTGCCCGTTTGGAAAAACGGGAGGCTATAGTCAGATGGACTGATGGGGGAAAGAGGAAAGGTGAGGGCAGGGGCAGGAGGTGTAGAGTCCGACCAGGAAGGGGCAGGGGAGGCTGGACACAGGGCCAAAACCTCCTACCCAAAGCCTGTGTTTCCACAACAGCTCTCCATGTTTCACAGAAAAGGTCAGTCTTTAAGATCGAGGATGGTGAGGAAAGATTTTATAGGATCACCAGGAAAACAGTAGTAGCCCAGATCTGGAAGGAGAAAAAGTATCAGAGAACCTCCTTGGTTACTAGTCGTGTCGAGAAACAGAAGTGGTTGGAGGGCATGGTGTATACGGAAGGAAGCGAGCCACTGCCTTTCTCTCGAGACCACGGCAATCTTCTGCCCATGTTTTGGTGGCTATTTTTAGAATGGTTGCTCTGCTCTTCTCTCAAACCGAAATTCTAACATACTGTTGAACTTGTCGGTACCTGATTGGCATTCTGACCCTCCGGAAGAATCCAACTGCAGCAGCCCGTGGGTGTTCGTGGTCAGGGCAGATGGCCACTCTGCTCGAACCGCCCCAGGACGCTTCAGCTTCGGTGGAGGCAGGCACTGTGCTCCACGTCTGGGGCAAGGACCCTGGCTCACCAGGTGAAGGCAGCGCTCAGCGGTCCTGCCCTGTGCAGACAAGTGAGCGGTAGACCCAGACCGCTTAGAGATCTCAGGTTCAAAAGCAGCTCCCTCTGCCTCGGGCCAGTCATTCTAACGCCCCTGAGCTTCAGTTCCCTCATCTGCAAACGCCTGCCTCCAGGATTTGTGGAGATGAGACCATGTGTGTGGAAGCGTCCTCTGTGACCTCCGAGCACTTTTGAAAATAAGTGTGTTTTTACTCAAAGTGCTTTGGTGCGGCCTGAGAGTTACAGGTGCTCAGGAGGCCCACTACAGATGCTGGAAAGGTGTGATCCAGGGAAGGACGGGGACAGAGGGTGCAGCAGCCGGTCCCCTGACTTCCGATGTCTCCTGGGTCTGTTCAGATCTTCTGGCAAAACAAGCCCGAGCCCAGTCAGCCTGGGGCCAGAGGACTAGCTCATAAGATTTGTACTTGTTCTCTCCTGTCCCAAGTGTGTAAGACGTCTTGTTACGATGTGTGGTTTGCCTTCTTACCCTTCCCTTGAATCTGGCCAAGAGTGTGTCCAGCAGGTGGGTGCTGCGGTGTCTGAGCTCGGGGCTGGTGACAGGTCGAGCTGGGCAGTGGCCGTTGCTGCCGTTGTGAATGAAGCCCTGCAGCAGCCCGACCTCGGGTTCAGTTGGAAAAGGGGTTCCAGACCATAACTCAGGGAAAGACAGTTGTGCTCATAGGCACGTGTGTGATTCTTTAGGGCAACTTTTATTTTTGATCCATTAGTAATAGCAAAGCTTATACACAAGTAGGGATTTAGGTGCATAAATGTCCACGATTCTATAAATGTTTCTTGCTTTAGTGAAGTTATATAGACATCGTGAAGTTAAGCTTGGAATTCGAGGGTACTTCGTATGTTAAGAGACAGCCTATGAAATAGTTTGAGTTTCTCTACCTGTTACAGATATTTCATTGGAAAGGACAGCCTGCCTTTTAACAGCGAGCATGCATTCATTATACAGTGAGACGGTTAACGTTGGCAGGCAGAACTCTTGACTTCTCTGTATCACCCACCTCGCTGTGGGTAGCTTGTATTTATTACTCACCAAGTAGTAGGAGCATGTGCAGGCTGACCGTGAACCTTCAGTTTCTGTATCATCAACCGATGTAGATGGTCAGGAGACAAATCCTCTTACTGCTCTGGAAACCCAGTTAGAACCAGGGGTCCTTCAGTCTAGCAGCTTTTACTTCCTGGTGCCTAAGAGTTCCTATATTTAATGACAAAAATAAATTCTAGAAAACTGTATTGCTAATTTTTTTAAACTTAAAGATTTTAAAAATTATTTCCAACTTTGGATATAATTTAAGGTTTTATATCCTAACTCTTT